GAACTAAATACAATCGCATACAAATGAGAGATGGATACATATTTTCTTTATTTTGATCATTTCAGGTTGGAAAGACAAACAGAATCAAGTACAATGATAAATAATAGCACAAAAAAGAAATGCATTAATTTTTGGAAGGATTATTTAGTTAAGGCAAAGAAAAACGAATCGAGAATATTCACATATACGCGCATCAATGAATATACATAACTGTAATAAGACATGACTAACAAAGAAAAAGAAAAAGAAAAAAAACGATAATCATCACTACATCCAACTCGTTATTTCGTTTAAACAAGCACCCAACATAGAGAAAGAAAAGACAAATGCACACACCGGAACAAGACGAGAGAAAAAGAGAGACAAAAAAAAAGAATATCTGAGTTTTAATTTTAAACAACAAAAAAAATGAGCATTCAAACCAAAGCGAGAAAACACAAATATGAAGTGTTTGCATTAGCTTGTCTTTATTATCTATTCACTGTTTTGACTGTAGAAGAAAAAACAAAAACATCTTTTATCTCTGATGATAAATGTGATGAAAACGCAAACACCACCGGAGATGGTCAATAAAAAAAAAAGCAAAGAAAGGCAGGACTAGCACGTAAGGATAGAAATACAATTGGATAGATTTGCTTTTTGTTCATTTACTCACTAAATTAACGATGAATATTTATAATTTGTTCATTTTTTGTTTGTAATGAGATCTATTCATTTAAGTCATAAAATTTCACTGTTGTTTTGTTATTACTTAATAACCAAAAAAAGAAAAAAAACTAACATCAGACATTTATGCACAAATTATAATATATTATCATTTTTGATTGATCATCAAAGACGTTCAAGAGACTTTAACCAAAGGACGGAAAATAAATGTAGAACGGAAGAAGAATTTTTTAGAAACTAATATTGCAAACATCCATGGCTACCTACTATTAGAAAGGGAGTTTTTTAAAGAATCAATCACAGGAAAAAAAAAAGAAAAAAAAAGAAAATGTGCATATTAATGATAAGATATGATTGACTTTTATTTTACTTATTGCCATGGGATTGCATGTTGTAAATAATTTGTCCATATATTATTATCAAATGATATTTTTGATTGAAATGGATTATAATCAAAATCTTGATCATATGTTGATGAAGAATTTGTTTTTATTGGAATGTTATTTCTATTTGGTCGTGCTATTATTGTTGAACGTTGACCAACAATTTTACGTGTTGGCATACCATTTAATTGCATAGATGATGATGATGATGATGAAATTTGTTGAGGAATATGTTTTGTTGAATTTATTTTTTGAATATGATTAACATCTGTTGTTGTTGTTGTTGTCATTTCTGATATACGTTCGAGATTCCACCAAAAATCTCTACTTAAACGAGTTATCCATGCACTATCATCACGTAATAAATATCGATCTATATAAAAGAAAATATTTATTAATTAAAAAATTATAAATTCTATTTCTTTTTTTTTTTTATATGTTCATACCAGCATTTTCAAATACACTCCAATCAACATCAGGATCAGTTAATGATAATGTTGATTGATTAAATGCATTATTTGGATTATTGAAATTTATTAAACTGTTATCAAAAGCTAGAAATAAAACATTAAAATAAAGTTATATATTAAATTGTTTCATTTACCAGATGATTGATTCATTGTCATCATCATGTTTATTTGACTTTATTTCACTGATATATTCAAAAATGTAGTTATAATAAATATGAAAGACAAATATGTCGATAAAGTGTTTCTTATGGTCGGATATAGAACCAGTATGGACACAAATGAATAATAGATTCGAGATGATGATCTGGAAAAAAGAGCAGATTTTATTAATGATGGCATCATATCTTACAAGAACTATGCTGTAGACTGTTAAGATCGATGGCACCATTCGTTTTTTTCTCTTCTCTCTCTCTCGGAATGGATATTACGCCGTTGATTTTGACCTCGCAGTGCATTATTATTTTATTCGCCCATCAAATTAAAGAATGAATGAGAATAGGAAAAAAAAACTGTTACCCATAGAAAGAGTTCAACACACCGGATAAATAGATGAACTGTTATAAAGAGTGTGAGGGCGCACAAACATTACTAGTCACTTTTCTCGTACTTAATGTAAAGAGAAAAATATGCGTAAACATATCCACATACGCATATATGTATCAAAAAGCAACAGAAAGAATATTTCTATATATGAATGTTAACATAACAAAACAGAAAATTCAATTACTGTAGAAAACAGTAAACAATTGTCAGACGACGACGTCTATGTCGTATGTTAAGATGAATATGGCTAAATGTGTCTTGTTGTTGGTGTTGTTTCTTTTTCTCTAGTGAGATGAAGAGAAGAAGAAAAAAAAAGAAAGTATACGAAAGAGATGCAAACATATCCTTAACATCTTCACTTGCTTTGTCTAAATGAAGATAATATAATAACAAGAGACGGGAGAAATATCCGTCCATAATCGAATCGATGATAAAGCAGTTTTATCATTCTGCTTTTTTTTTTTGCTCGTCATTTTCTATTAAACACGGCTTTTTTTCTTACTCATCATATCTTCATGATGACATTGGATTTTTCTTATCACTTATCAAACAAAAAAAAAATGAAAACGAGGTAATCTTATATATTAATGACACAATATTTTTCTAGTTATTTCGAAAATAGATGCATGATGAAGAAATAGTTATCATGTACGAGAGTATAATATAGAATATGAAGATAAAAATAGTCTATTACCTGACAAAAAGAAAGCAAAGAACTAGTTGCTTTCTTATTTGGTCAAAACAAAACAAATAGGACAAAACGGAAGAAGGATTGAAAGCTGCATGGGAGAAAAGAAAGAAAGAAAGAAAGAAAGAAAAGAGAAAAAGACCAACTTAATGGGAGACAGAAAGAAAAAAAAAGGTACACCAGAGAGTAAATGTGGATAGATGAGAGTCTCAAGTAGAAAAGAGAAAATGATTCCTATTGATTAAAACATGATTGTGTTTTGACCCAACCAATTAATCTATTAGATTTTTGTCAAGTTAAAAGTGTTTTCTTTATTTCAAAGAAAAAAAAACTAAGAACGAAAATTCTCGTCTACAATCAAAATTTATCTATGTAATCTCTTTCAACAGAGGACACTATACAACAGAAATAAGAATTACAAACAAGTTTCTTTATAAAATAAAATATACATGTTATAGAAAAATTGATGAGATGAAGAGAAAAAAATTTCTAAGTTTTTTTTTTTCATATTCGCTTTAATCGATATGCTAGTTAATGGAACAAAGTAGTAGCATTACAAAAAAAAAACTAAATAAAAAAGAATCTGTTTAGATTTTTCCTATCTTAAGTGATTATATTTCGTTTGATTTATTGAATGAATTGGCAGCAACAGAGATCTGTTCGAATGTGGTTCCATCCGATCAACTGTAACTCAAATCTAATAATACTCTACCATGATACTACCTTTCAAAATTTTCATACTATATAACAACGGCAGAAAAATAAATGTTGATTTGTTTGTTCATATACTCAATCTTTTCATCTTTTGTTTTATCATTATAATTATTGAGCAAATTTCTTTTAATATGTTATTTAATTAAAAAGTCTCATGTAACCGTAATGTATCACTAACTATCGGATGTAAGATTATATCTAAGTAACGTATTCTTTGCAAATAATACTCAAAAGAAAATTGTTTATTTTTGATTGTCTAATAAGATCTATTGTTTTTCATACAACACTCTCAAGAAATGTCGTCGATTTTTTAATAATGAAAATCAAACAATATAAATAATCTTTAAAATTACCGAGACATACTGTAGAGTACAAAAAAAATTATCGTTCGAATTTTTCAAATTTCTTCTATTGAAAACCATGAATATTAAAATTCTTTTTATGGATAGTTTACACGTATACTACAGTCTACCATGGTAATATTGAATAGAAGATATACTCTGTTTTTGAATTTAAAAAAAAGAAAGAAGTAGACCTTTTTTAGAAGGGTAAAACTTATATTGTTCTTTGTGCGAAAGCCTCTGCAATTCATCACAATTTGAGAGTATCTGCTCCCAAAAAAAAAATATAGTTAAACAACTAGTCATAAGTTTTCAATAGACTTCAAGTCTATGCTAGCCTATAATCTGTTGATGGTTTAGTACATTTATTTCTCAAGAATGGTCATGTTAGAGTCCGTGGTTCGTGACAAGTTTACGTCAAATAGTGTCAGGCAAAGGTTTTCATTATACATGAAGTTTTTCTAAATTATTAATTAAGTTCATTAAACTGCAATTGTACATTACATAAAGTTTAGTGTCGAAAATGTGAACAGTAGAGAATGTTATGAAAATTAACATACATGTTCCAGAATAAAAAATTTCATGAAACACAATCTAAAAAGAAGTGTTGAAGTATATAGAATAGAAATTCACATCCGTTTCTACAGGTCATGACAGACAGATTAGAAACGGTTCATCATAAATATCTTAGCAATAACACATCACATACGCAGTAGGCATCCCTAATGATGCCTCTCCTTCATCACAAACAACGGTAGACACATTAGCAATGCTGTCCTCTTTCTTCATCACATACCGTGTGTAAAGAACGTTTCATTATAATAAATAAATGACTTCTTTATTGCATATCTGGTGGATTAAATAAAACGATGGTAACGAAATATATCCAAAAATAGATGGAATAAAATAAGTTTCCAATGATTAACAACAGCAGTGTTACATCGTGTTTCATATATCTATAGATAAATTCTAGTAAACAAACGCAGAATACTACGTTATGTACATAGTCAAATTGAGATAATAGACAATCTTCTAAAATAATTTTAAATCTCTCTTGAATCGTATTTATCGACTAATAAAATATTGTCTAAAACGAAAATCTTACAAATTTTTATTTTTCAATCACAGGTATCAATACAAAAACTTAAAACAATAAATAATTGTATCGATTATAAAACTATGATATTCAAGTAGATTAATAATTAAATGTTATCAAACGATTTCTTGCATTTCGTTCATAAATTCTTTTTACCAGTAAATGTTTATATGCTGTCCAATCGACTTCACGTTGAAGTTTTTTCTGTAGTTCATCATCAGTTACATAAGGTCGAACCTATCAAAAGAAAAACAAAGAAAAAAAAAACCTAAATAAATTATTATATATAAATTACCTCTCGTCGTAATCGATCGAATAAAATTTCTGGTGTCATTTTAATAAAAAAACTTTTACGTATTCGAATACATTCAGCTCCATCAGAGACTAATGTAACACTTAGTGCATTTTTTAATTGTCCAAAAACGACGCTTACCAAACCCTTAAGTAATAAAGATAATTAATAAATCAATATAAAGAATAGTATATTCAGTTTATAACATTATTTTTAATATTTCAACATAAGTAGACAAGTAAATGAAATTATTATTATTATTTTTTTCAAGCTTAAAGTAAATATAACTTTTAAATACATCTAGTAAACAATTATTTCAAGTAATCTATGGTTTCAAGCATCTTATATTTACTATACAATATGACTTTGAAAGAATTTTCAAGTAAAAAAAAATGTGACATAAATCTACTTACAAAAACACTTTTTTCACGTATTTGTTCAATTTCAGTATAACATTTAGCGGGTTTAATCGGTGATTTCGGCTTAAAAATATCAATTTAAAATTACAATGAAATTAATCTTTTGTTTTTTTTTTACTTTATTAAATGTGCCTAATGCTTCCATACTATATTGTGAAGCACGTTTTGTACCAAAATTATCATAAATAACTTTAGGTTTTTTTCTTGTTATTAATTTTGGTGTAACTTGTGTTAGTGCTTTAATAACTCGACAAGAACCTGTACGAATAACATAAATCCATTCATCTTCATTTGAATCTTTACTCATTAATGTACCCATACTATAATAAAACTGGTTTTTTTTTAAAAATTTTATTGATTTTTATTTAAAAATATTTTTACCGATAGTAAACAACTTGACAAATATGGGGACTGTCATGCGGAATTTTATCAATAGGAAATCCACGAAACTTAAAGATTAAAATAAATATGGTAAGAATAAAAATTAATAAAAAATTGTTTTTTTTTCTTTTTTTTTTTTACTTCAGGTATTTGTCGTAAAAATGAAATAAAATCGGGTTCGGTTTCTCTATCATTAGCCATAAATATTTTAACAAAATCTTCTCGCTCGATTGCAAGCATCGACACGTCGGTTTGACAACAAACAGTTGCCGTTCTTCGGTGTGCATTGATCAGTGCAACCTCCTACAGTGTAAAAACAACGAAAAAAGAAAAAAGAACGATTATTCGGATTATTATTATAGAAGAATAAATGTCCTTACACCAAACGAGCTTCCTTTTTTAAGTACAGCAACGAGTCTTGAATTGAATACATGTGTTGTTGGATTTTCTCGTAATTTATATACATTAGCTTTGAAATGATACAATAGAAGAAAATTTTTCTTTTTGAATTTAACTTACTGATACCATCGACAATTAAATAGAATTTCTCAGCACGATGTCCTTCACGAAGTATCACCCGACCTCTTTCAAATTCTTCTAATATAGCAACACGTGCTAATGCATATTGTCGTTGAAGAGGAAATTCTATAGATTAAAATTCAAAGTTATATGTTTTTTTTTTATTATTATAGTTTTTGAATTGGTGGAAGCAATCTTTGAATGATTAAAAACAGACAGCCAATCAATGGATAGTTTAAAGTTTTTAAATTACATCTAAACTCTTGTCGTTCTTTTAACAATAGTATTGCATAATTTAAGTCTATAAATTTCTAAATTCAGATATCGATCAAGGCACTACTGAGTTTCTTCGATTCGAATCGACAAATCAATCAACATCAATAACGACTCAATTATTAAATTCGATGAGAATCTAATGTATTCGACTTTCAGATTTTATTTGATAAAAAAAATCTTTGAATTAATTTTTTTTTTAATTTACAAACCTGTAAATGACGAAACAGTTTGACCTAATCCAACAACTATCATACGAATATCATCGTCTGTTCTCGTTGCTGGATCAGATTTTAAAAGTTTTCGAATATTTCTTCCAATTGTTTCCTAAATATTTTATTTTTTATTTCATAGAATCAAATAAAATTTTCTTTTTACCTCAACTGGTCGTCGAAAATTACTTAGATCGAAAAGAATTTCTGAATTATTATATAATTGTTCTCTATTATTATGTGATGATTCAATCGCATATTTTCTCACAATTAAACAAACACGAACAGCATAACGAACCAAACGGAAAAATTTCCATAATTTTTTATGCAACTAAATCCAGTAGGAAAAAAAACGAAACAAATAAATAAATATATATATATATATATGAATGGTTTTTTTGTCTTATATTAAAAAATACATAATCTCGATTGAATGACTGTCCACGTTTTGTTCGGGTAGGCAGTGCTAAATGTTGATGAAATGAACCTTGTGTTCCTGTTCGATGATATAAACTTGGTGTAGTATCACGAGACGACATCGAAATATGTGCATGAAAAAATGTAAGAAAAGAATTGTATGCGTAGGCTTTTGTAATTATCTTACAGGACGAAGCACGAAAAAGAAAATTAATAAAATAGCATTTAAATGGTTTCCATTCACCATCATCGAAATTACTTTTAGTTCGACAACAGAAAAAAAAACATAACGTTCTACGATTTACGAAAAAAAGAGATCGATTTATTTATTAAGAAAAAAAAAAGGAAAAAAGAAAAAAAAATTGACAATGTATAAAATTCTAAATCAGTCATGTATTAATAATAAATAGTTCATTATCAATTGATGGTTGATCAACAGTTTCATTTTCTCTCAAAAGATAAGCAAATAAAGTTTTATTTTTTGATAAAATTTACTGTGATTTTGTTTGAATTATCGGTAAATCTTTTTCGTCCAATGGTAATTGAATATCTGGAAGAATTTGTAATGAATGTTCATTTATAATAGTATCTTTATCAGAACTTTTCATATCTACTAAAAATAAGCAAGTTAATGAATGTTTTTTTCATAAATTAATAAGGTATTGGGAATTCGTTTTTTGTCATGGTTAGATTGCAGCTCGTGCAGTTACCTCTAAAAATATTGTGTTTGACATATTCAATCGATATTTTTGTAGCGAATATCAGATTAAAAAAAATAAGAAAAGTCTATACAAATTGAAATACTCAAAAAACATCAAGTCTCGGTAGTCTCAATGTTTACTGGAATTCTTTTATTTACTTTACTTCTCATATGGTTAGAAAATTTTTTTTGAAAAGCTGTTCGATGAAGGGCAAAAGTGCGAGACTCACAAACTTTTGACTGTTATAAATTTATGGTCTATTGTTAGAGAGGTTAAAACAAATGAATAAATCAAAATAATAACAATTTTTATTAATGATATGTGTGCTCTGAAATTTTATCATTTCAAAAATATTTGAATTTAGAATTTCTATGCTACCTATTTACTGTAGAGATGATATACATGGATGTAATCATTCAGTAAGCTTCTGAGCACACTATCCTTTCTCTCGATGAACTTTTGATATATACTGTTGAGTTTTGCCTAAACTTAGAATTCAATTAGTTCGTACTTTTTTATGTCTGTCCTACTCTGATTCTGTTAGATTAATAATACCACTGCCATACTGATTAACACCTATAATCAGATTATTTCACTGCATTAAATACCAAAATTCGCAATATTTAGACAAGTTATAATGTAGGATAGAAGTCTTAGATGCATAGAATGTTTTAAAAAATTCTAGAAAGTTCTAGGATGATCCAAGTACGACTACACGACATTTGCGCGCATGACATTTGCGCGCCGACACTTGCGCGCCGACATTTTCGTGCACGACACTTGCGCGCACGACACTTACGCGCGTGACATTTGCGCGCAAAATGATTTCTTTTCATGAAATGAGTCTTCGTTTGGGTTTGAGTGTGATGATGGCGGAAGGTGGGTGTCACTGCGATGGGAGAGCAGTAGTTCAAGACAATCCTTCATGGATCTTCACTACCCTAGGGAAAATCTTTGATGTTTCTATGTCTGATCCTTAACGAATCCAATCAGGATCTTTCAAGAATTCGCTGTTTTTTTCCTAAGGAAACGACTAAATCCTGAAAGAAGCGTATAGCCACAGAATTTCAAGATTCTGGTAGGATTCCTAGCAGGATCCAATCAGGATTCTGAACAGATTCCATCCGAAGTGCATGAAATCTTGAAAGAATCATCTCTATTATTCCTGTAAAGATACTCAGCAGGATTAAGCTTGAATCCTTGTAGGATCCTGCATTCATGATTTCGAAAAATATCTTGATAGAAACCTGGATAGATCATAAATAGGTCCCTGCCTAAACGTGCGAAGGCCAAGAAAAGTGAGCTCCGCATATAAACTCCAAATTTGGCGCTCAATTTTCTTCTCGATCCTTCTGTTATGATTTATAGCATCACCAAGAGTACTGGTAGCATTACCTTGGATCCCAGAGGGATTTCCTGGGATCCCCCTAACATTGCCTAGGATGCTAATATCAATTCTCTCGGTTGCTATGGGTACCACCTGAGATGCTACAGGCATTACTTGGGATGCTATGAGCCCGACGCAAAATGCTACTAGCGTCGTAGGTAATGCCTCTGGCATCCAAGAAGATGCCTCTAGGATCCCCGGTAATGGCTCTAGCGTCCCAGAAAATGCTTCTAGCATCATAGAGAATGCCTTTAGCAACCTAGGAAATGCTTCTAGCATGAAGGAGAAGGCTTCTAGCATCACAGAGAATGCTACTAGCACCTCAGGGAATACTACCAGCATCACAGTGAATGCTAATGGGGTTACAGGGAATGCTACTAGTATCAAAGCGAATGCTTCTAACAGTCCAGGAAATGCTAACAGCAACCCAGGGAATGCTACTGGGATCCCAGGGAATGCTTCAAGCATCCCACTGAATGCCACTAGCATCCCAGGGAACGCTATCAGCATCACAGGTTATGGCTCTAGCATCTCAGGCGATGCTATTAGTATTCGAGGAAATGCCAGTAGCATCCCAGAAAATGCTACTAGCATTCTAGGCGGTGCTATGAACCATAGCAGAGGGACTGAGAAGAAAATGAGCTCCAAATTTAGACTTTACGCAATTTGGAGTCTACGCAGTTTGGAGCTTACTTTTCTTGACCGCGTGCAAAACCCTGGAAAAACGAATTATCAAGAACTGCGGCAGGATCTTGAAGAAAACCTGACAAGATCCTTGAAGTCCAGGATGCTGAAAGATTCGTCCAGGATTTCTCAATGAATGGTCAGAATTGAGACTAGGGTAATACTTAACCCTCACGCCCACACGCACAGCCAGCATCTATTTCCTAAGCCACATCCGTAGTCATATCCAACCCAGAACGAAGTCAAGCGCAGAAAAAAATCATTTTGCGCGCAAGTGTCGCACGCGTAAGTGTCGTGCGCGAAAACGTCGGCGCGCAAGTGTCGGCGCGCAAATATCACGGCCGCAAATGTCGTGCCACGTCCAAGTACTGTTAGTACTGACGCACTTTTTACAATTACTAGGAAAACGCAACTCCTTCCGCTTCCAGTTGTTAGGGCTTAGCGAGAGCCACAAATACCCTCGATTTAAACTTACACTCACTATTTTCTTCGAAAATATATGTGAGTTTCACACCTTGGAAGAAGTGCAGGCCGAAATATTCGAAAATAATAGTGAGGCGGTGTAAGAACCAAAATTAGACGAAAGTGTAAAATCAAAAAAAAATATTCCGAGTTGATGCTTTTGGCGTATTTCAATTTTTAGACTTTTGCTCCTAATTTTCACTTAAAAAATGTCGTTTGAATATGTCGAAAAGAATATTTTAAGAGGTAACTAGACTAGATAGATCCGACCATGACAAGCTTAAATTTCAAATTGCTGCCACTTTACTAACATGTTGAACAATGTTCTTGATTAGGTTGATTCAAACATTTTTCATCATGTTTATCATATGTACTAAATTGTTGAAAAAATTCTAAAGAAAATATTAATAATATTTTATAGATAAAATTCAATGAAATATTTTACTTGTATTCATTGAATTTGATGATGTTAATAATTGAAAATTTGTAATATGTAGTGATTGATTAGAAGACAATGACCTATGTAAATAATCTTTTGCGATTCATATTATTGATAATATTTACATTCCATTGAAATTTTTTTTCTTTTGTTATTTATGTTTCTACTGTTAGTCAATAGTAGCTCGTTATACAAATTGATTGAATTATTTTTACATATCATATGACAAATAAACTCAGTTTTAGTGACTACAAAAAGTCAAACTATTCACTCAATTAAATTTAATAATCAATTGAAAAGAAAACAAATATAAAAACTAGATAATGTTAATCTGCCTTCAAGTGCATCATATAATCATCAGTTAGATTAATATAAATTGTGAATGTTGTATAATGTGATTTATGATTGAAAAGAAATACTATCGATTTTATATTTTTAATATACCATTTATTTGTTTTTGTATTTCTAATGAACAAACAAACGAAAATCACACAATGAATATGATTTGTATTCCTTTATGGTCATTGTCATGTTGAGGTTAAAAACTGACTAGGAAAGTTCGTTGACATTCGATTGAAATTGTACCGTCACTCTTAAGATAAAACTATTCGGTTCAAATTTGAAAAAGAAGCTTGCATTTTCGAGTCAAATTTTATTTCGCACTTTTCTGAAAATAGATTTTTTTTTCTTGTTCTTGTGTTAAAGAGTTCTCGGCCATTTTACATACTAGAAAGTGTTAAACTGAAGAGAAAATTGAGCTTTACAATTTAGTAGAGCTGGAATTTTCATTTTCCACTAACTTTTTGAAAAAAATGAATGTTTTTCTGTAGAGACACTATGATTTTTTTTCAGAGAAAATTCCATCAGATCGGACCCAGTCAAGTTGTAGCGATAGATATTAGCTGCATTTTAAAATCAAATCGAAATCCTTGTCCCGCGAAGACCTACGTTTTGACTCTTGATGTTATGGTAGGTCATAAACAGTTCAATATCTTGGATCGAAATTTTCACTGTGAACTGTTAAGACTCGGACACACATTTCATGAAATATTCCGCTAGATTGGTTACTGTAGAGCAAAAATAGACTTCTGATTGTGAGTTAGTTTTAAAGAATAATAAATCATTCATTGCAATGCTTTCAATTAGGGCTAAAAGTTAATATTCGTCAGAAAATTCGTAATTGAGATGATAGCTTGAGGTCTGAGTTTTCTTTAGCACCTCGCTTTTTGATGATTTCTATGATCTTCTACTTAAAAAATATGTTCATTTCACAAAAAGTAGGAAATTTCAGAAGAAATGAGGAAAGAAACCTAAAATTAAATTGAATTGCTTTTTTTTACTTACTCTGCTGAAGCTTCATGCCATTTAAGACCATCT